TGGGTGGGCAGCAGCAGAGCCCTGGTACTGAACCATTCATGATAATTTAAAGCCCTCTGGAGCCTGCTTGGAGGAGCCATGTTTCTTTAAGAGAACAGAAGACTCTGAAAGGATTCCCAATTGCCTGGCCAGGGGCTGGAGCTTGCAAGCCGGCGGCTCACAGCTGTATTTTGTTTGGCCGCAGAGAGATGGACAACTCTGTAGCGGTTGCCAGTGTTTAACAATAAGATTTCAGATTCACATAAAAGTCCGAATTCCTTCTGTCTTCTGAAAAACTCTGGAGATCTGAAGTCTGTATTCCCTCACAGCAATGGGGACAAGAAAGATGTTGGCCTCCCTCAAATGACAACAGGCTTGTGTCCGTTGTCCCCGCCACAGGATGTGATGTGCTGCTGCCCTTCATCCCTATGGTTGCGTGGTTGTTTCTTTCATTCCTGGATCCCTGGGTACATTTTGGGTGAGTTATTTAATCTAAGTTCTTTGAATCAGTAAAAGCGCCATTTTGTTAACACAACAGACAGGCCAAAAGAACCTAACAGGATTGCTGTGATGTTTATAGGAGATGCCATTAAGTGCTTAGCTCAGTGCTGGTATGTCAAAAGTCTTCAGTAAATGCTTGTGACTCTGCTGAAGGCAGACGTGACGAGAGGCCTTCCATTAAGTAAAAACACTCCTCCAGTCACTTGTTGATTTTAAAGCTGTCGTTAAAAAAATGTGAGCATTTTAGAAAAGCCTTTTATCCTTTATTTCTGAAGACCCATGGACACCTTAATATTCCAATGCAGCCTGGGGTCCAGACTTTCAAGGATCTTTAAAATATTTCTTTGAGTTCTGTGTATGTGTTTGTGCCTGTGTGTAGGTTTGTGCCCATGCTTGAAGGTGCCCACAGAGGCCAGAAGAGGGTGTCAGAGACTCTGGAGCTGGAGACACAGCGGATTCTGACACAGCCTGACAGAGGTGCTGGGAGCTGAACTCAGGTCTTCTGAAAGAGAAGCATGCATTCCTAACTGCTGAGACACAGCCCCAAATGCCACAGGATGAAAATTTGAAGCTCAGTGTGGGAGCTTATGTTTGTCATTTCAGCATCAGAGAGGTTGAGTCAGGAGGACTGTGGTAAGTTTAAGACCAAGGCTACCAGGGGGGTACACAGTGAGTTGCAGGCTAGGTTAAATTATACATCTGCACACACATACACACACACAAGCACACGCACATGCACAAACACACGCACCACATACTTCCCTCTCCTCCCAAGAACATTGGTCTTGCATGTTCTGAACCTTCTAAGGTGAGGATAGGAGAAACACTGAGAACCTGGAAAACTTCCTTTCTTACTTCAGAATGGCTAAGCAACGTGCCAGCAAAGCCTACGAACGGACACAAGAGAATGCAGTCTATAAAGACGGCATGGGAAGATGCCCTCCCACAGCCCTCTGGCTGCTGTTTCTAGTCTCCTGTGGAAAGAATGAGGCAAAGATGTGCTACGGTCGGTCTAATGAGTCATAACCCATAACGAGACACTGGTGGCCTCAGAGCTGTGACTTCTGGCAGCTTTCTGTTTGCCTTTCCCTTCTGTAATGCCTCGGCTGCTCCTTCCCAGCCTGGGGACTTCAGCGGCAGAGCTTGCTGCAAGGCGAGGCACACACTGTTGCGATTGCTCCTTTGAGATCACAGTTCCTCACATAGGAGCAAGAGGCCAACTATTTGGAATCACATCCACCCCAAAATGATTGCCAGCTCTTAATGATTTTTCTTTCTCTACTCTTTGCCTGGCAGAAAGAGCTCGGCACTTCTGGATGCAGGCCTCTGGGATCTCATTTTCCGTTGTGCCGTGGTGTGCCTCAGTGTACAGCAGTTTGAATGCTTTGGCTGCAAGCAACAGACACATTATACACAAGTTCTCTCATCTCATTCTCCAGGAAGTCTGGAGATGGGTTCTGAACCTTTTGTAGGTGAATAGATGACATTTCCCGAAGGGGACCACGTGAGAGACCTATAACAAAAGCCCAGGGATAGAAAGGAAAACAGTATGCCCCCACAAAACTCACCTTTCTTTAGGCTACATTTAAAAACCATATGATGAGAAGTAGCTGGTGGCTCACAGACAAAACCCTCATGTGAACACTTGACACAGGTAAGTAGAGAAGAGCCAAGCTGAGAGTTTGCTGACATCTGTCCAGTAAACAGGAAGGAGAGAGTCCCGGGCATCTGCAATGTGACTGATGACAGCAGAATGGCCAAGGCTGCAGAGATGGGCTTTGTGATGGGTGACCCAAAGCTTTTATATCCACAGATGTAACCAGGACATAATGTCAGGTGCCTTCTGGGAAGGGTCCTGAGGTCAAGGGTTGACATGTTCTAGCTGCCTTCATAGCAGAAAGCATTCCATGGACAAAACAAATTCTCGACACGGGGAGCCAGAGAATAGAGATGATTCCATGGATGGTGTGTGTCCCAGAGGGACAAAAGATGAGAATCTGTGCTGATGCTTTCTCTCTCTCTCTCTCTCTCTCTCTGTCTCTCTCTGTCTCTCTCTGTCTCTCTCTCTCACACACACACACACACAGACACACACAGACACACACACACACACGATGGAATTGTATTCAGCCACTGAAATAATGAAGTATTGTATGATCAATTAGTATGTGTATGTAGTATGTGTGTACAGTAGGCATGCACGCCCATGTATGTGTTCAGGGGCCAGAGGAGGACATCAAATGTCTTGCTCTACTACTGTCCATCTTGTTTCTTTGAGACAGGGTCTCTCAGTGTACCTTGAGCTACGCTGGTGGCCATCAAGACCCGGTGGCCCTCTTGCTTTTCTCCCAGCAGTACTGGAATTGCAGGTCCATGTAGATACATCTGTAGTTTTATATGGGTGCTGGGATCCGAACTCAAGTCCTCATGCTTGTGCAGCAAGTGATCTTGCCCGCTGAGCCTTATCTTGGGCCCCTGGACCTGTATTTTCAATATGTACGTAGTCTGTGTCAATTCACCTGGACAGGTTTCTAGATTCTGCTCATCTGCTCTACATTCCAAGAATCTCTTGGGAATGTGGATTAGGCCAAGTTCCTTCAGAAGATTCTACTATAGATATTTTTCTAAATGAAATAAATGATCAGTGTGCTGAGGGGAATCCGAAATTCACAATTATTGTAACATTATTCACAATACAATGAAATTCAAGCTATGGAACCAATGAAATGCCCATCAATGAATGAACAAACAAAGCTAACATGGTACGTATACACAATGGAATTCTATTCAGCCACTAAAACAATGACGTTTTGTGTGATCAAGTTAGCCTCATTTCAAAGATGATGGAATGGATTGACAAATACAAATCAATATATGTAACATATTATATAAATGAGCTGAAGGATCATCTCAGTGGATGCAAAAAAAAAAAAAAAAAAAAAAAACAAAAGAAACCATTTAGCAAACCCTACATACCTTCGTGATAAAAGCCCTCCTGAAACTAGGAATAGAAGAAATATATCTCAAGGTAGTAGAGGCTGAGTATGAGCAACCTGTAGCTAACATCATGTTAAAGGAAGTGTTTCTACTAAGATCATTTTGTCCACTGTTACTTAATATACTGCTTGAAGCCTTCCCTAAGCAGTAAGACAAAAGAAGGAAGTAAGAGAGACAGAGGTAAAGCAGTCAAGCCGTCCTTATGTGCGATTATGATTACATGCAAATATGACTCTGAGGACTCTGCCAGGGGCTGAAGAGCTGCTTGCGGTTGAGGGAGAATACTGCTGCGGCAGAGGATCCGGTTTGCTCCCCAGCACCAGGTCATGTAGCTTGCAACTGCCTGCAACTCCAGATCCAGGTGACCCAACACTCTTCCGGCCTTCACAGCACATACCCCTGCCCCCCAACACACACACACAAACACACACACACACACACATGAACACATGAACACATGCATACATGTACTCACACACACATGCACAAAACTCTTGATTCAATAAATACTTTCAGCAAAATGCTGGGACATAAACTATCTTTCCTAAATGCCATATGGCTTGGGGTTAAGCAGTCCATCATGGCAGGGAAGACATGACAGCTGAAATGTGAAACCACTGGTTAGGTTACATGTGCAGTCTGAGATTAGAGAAAGGAACGAACCCTCTCACACCATCTTCTATGTTCCATCACTATCCATAGGTGATTAGATGTTCATGCCCAGAAATCAATTTAGGAAATCAACCAGGACCCCATCAGCTCAGGTCTCAGGATACAGTCTTCCCACTCATTTTCAAGGCTGATAGACTCACAATTCTAAGACATACAATCCTTTCCTACAAGTTATTCCTACATCCCATTCCTCAATGTCCCCACGTTTTTGTCCAAAGCACAGAGAGCACGGAATGAGTTTTGACAGCTGGACAATGTATGGTTGTGAAAACATAGTTCATTTCAAAGGGTTTGGGATAGTCTCGGGGAAACCATAAGCCTGTGGTCACTCTGCAGTTCTCAGTCGAAGGTCCTTTTACAATCCCATTCCTGAGTCACCCTCACTGCTGTCCAATTCCATAACTGAAGAGCTGCAGGGTTCGTGGAGAGATCCTGTCCTCAGGACAGCTTAGAGCTTCATCATGCCAAGGACTGCTCATGGGTCTCTCTTAGGACAACACATTTCCCCACAAAGACGGATCGTGGAAATGTCTGAGTAATAGCAGTGTCACGCTTCCACTGGGGAAATCGTTTCCTATCCGACCCCCAGGAATGCAAACCTCCCGATTTCGAGCACTGCATCTCCTGGGGGCGCTTTTCTCAGTCGTCTGCTTAGTCATCTCTCCCTGTAGCCAAAGAGCAATGTCGGTCTGAAGCATCCAGCTTGGCTTCCCAGTCAGGAAGTGTGGTGCAGCCCGGTTCCGTCTCGCGCACGCTGATTCATTATTGCTCTAGGGTAGGTGCTCCTGGCCGTTTTGCTAGACCATGAATCTGGCAGCAGAGGTCAGATTTCAGCTCAGTTTGTAAAGGCACCGTGGAAAGCACACATGTTACAAGCGAAGGTGGGTGTATGTGTATTTCTTTTGTTAGTTTTCTGTTGTTTTGGGACAGTGTCTTGCATAGAGTCCAGGCTGACCTTGATCTCATTATCCTCCTGACTCTACTTGCCAAATACTCTGCTTTGTCTGTCTTTTATTATGCAGTGAGACTAACATCTGTCAAGAAGGTGGTTCTCAAGAGACCCAAGCAAGAAGAATTTATGAAAATGAGAAGCAAGTTAGCGGGTAAAGGTATGTCAGGGCCAGATTAAGCTGTTTTCTTTCTTTCTTTCCTTCCTTTTTTTTTTTTTTTTTTTTTTTTTTTTTTTTTTTTAAGTATTTCTTAAATTAAGAATTCTAGGTTAGCATACCAGGTGATGATTTAACTGTGGAATTTTTGACATTCTTATTGAGCTGCCTTTCCCACTATCTTCTTTCCTTCCTTCCCCCTCTTTGCTGTTCCTCTGTTCTACCCCTCCCCCTCAAAGCTGTTCTTGGTCTGATGAGTTGGGCATAAAGTCTGATGAGGATGAGAAGACAGGATTATGCCGGAGTGGCTGGCGAATATAGAGGAGCAGACTGTGTGAGGCCATTCTGGATTCTCTGTCACTCAGTGGGATTCCCTCCCCATCACACACCTATACAGTTGAGACAGAGCATGTGAAAGACCACATGGTCAGATTGCTATGGTGGCCTGAGTGTGAAATGCTCAATTCCCTGTCTCTAGCTGGTAGTGCTCCCTGAGCTTGTGGGTCCTTTAAGAGGCGGAGCTTTGTTGAAGGAAGCCTAGCACTGGGGGTGGGACTAGCCTGGCCCCATTCTGACTATGAGACAATGTGACCAGCTGCCTCCTACCCAGGTGCCCTGCCTTTCCCCACCTTGAAGGCTTCATTACCTTAAACTATGGGCTACAACTAACCCTTTTGTCTCTCATTAGCATCTCCTTGGCTGCTTTATCTTAGCAACAAGGAAAATGATACCATGGTTGTGATATGACATCTATCAGAGAGTCAAGGGTACAAGAGTTGGGGGTTTGGACTCTGGCATTGGGATCCCACTGCTATATACATTGCAAGGCTGAGAGTGATCGCTGACTGGCTAGCCCATTCGCCCAACCATCATGTGATGCCTTGAACGTTCTGGGGCAGGAGGTCATGGGAAGCAAGCTCCCAAGGGTTTGCTTCGACAGATCAAGAAACGAACTTGGTGTCAGTGGAGTGCAGGGAGCTCTGTGAAATCATAGTCTAGTTTCAAGATGGTTATGAGGCACCATGTGGTTGCTGGGAATTGGACTCAGGACCTTTGGAAGAACAGCCAGTGTTCTTAATCTCTGAGCTATCTCTCCAGCTGGTAGAGTACTCTAAAAGAGACTAGACAAGGTGTAGCCAATGCAGCTTTCCGGAAGGGCCATAGGAGGTTTCCTGGAAGCCTAGATGTCTAGCCTGTGACATAAAAAGGCTCTAAGCAGGTGGAAGCTGTGGTTGGCGTAGAAAGGGTTTCCACAGGAAAGAGGCTGAGTAGAGGGTACTGTGGGCTCTGGGTAACTACAAAGGAGCGAGCTAACGCCTGGAAGGGCAAGCTGCAGGCGAAGCTGAACAAAGGCAAGGGCCAGGTGTTGCAGAGCCTTGCAGAGCATTCCAGTGGAGGTAGGGTTTTCATTAGACAGAAATGGCAGCTCCTGGGGGAACCTGAAAATGGCGTTCTTACTTAGTCCTGGAGATGGCTGATCTTACATCAGCTACCTGTTTTGGGAAGGTGACTGGGATGGCTATTCTTGGTTGTCAACTTGATTACCTCTGGAATGAACTAAAACGCACAAGCAGAGGGACACACCTGTGAGGGATTTTTGTTTTATTTGAAGTAAAAAGAGCTACTTTTTTTTTTTTTTTACAGATTTATTAATTTATTATGCATATGAGTGCTCAATCTGGATGTATACCTGCATGCCAGAAGAGAGCATCAGATCCTAGTAAAGATGGCTGTGAGCCACCATGTGGTTGTTGGAAATTGAACTCAGGGCCTCTGGAAGAGGAAGTTCTCTTAACTGCTGAGCCATCTCTCTAGTATGGGAAAAATCTACTTCTAATTGGATCTTTGTGATAGGAAGACATATATTTAATCCAGATCTTTTGTGGTGGGAAGACCCACCTCTTTTTCATTCACAGCTTCTTTTGGAAGCCTTTCCAAGGAAATGGAAGAAGAAAGCTTTTGCTCTTTGCCTGCTTGCCCGGAAGTCCATGCTTTAACTATCATTGGAACCTGTTTCTTTAGGATTCTGGTATACACTGAAGACCAGCTGAGACATCCAGCCCCGTGGACGGAGCAACTACTGGCTTCTTGCACTTTCAGTTCAGAGGCAGCCCTTGTTTTTTGTTGTTGTTGTTTTGTTTTGAGATATACTTTATTAAAAAATTATTTTTTATTAATTACAGCTTATTTACTTTTGTTTCCCACCTGTAGCCCCCTCTTTCAGCCTCTCCCAATTCCACCCTCCCTTCGTCATCTCCTCCCATGCCCCTCCCCAAGTCCACTGATAGGGGAGGTCCTCCTCCCCTTCTTTCTGACCCTAGCCTATTAGGTATCATCAGGACTGGCTGCATTGTCTTCCTCTTGTTTCCTGGTAAGACTGCTCCCCCTCAGGGGGAGGTGATCAAAGAGCCAGCCACTGAGTTCATGTCAGGGACAGTCTCTGTTCCCCTTACTAGGGAACCCACTTGCAGACTGAGCTGCCATGGGCTACATCTGTGCAGGGGTTCTAGGTTATTTCTATGCATGGTCCTTGGTTGGAGTATCAGTCTCACAAAAGATCCCTGGGCCCAGATTTTTTTTTTTTTGGTTCTGTTGCTCTCCTTGTGGAGCTCCAGACCCTTTCAGGTCTTTCTATCTCCCCCTTCTTTCATAAGACACAGCCATTGTTGAACTAGCTGAACCACACAACCTCTAAGTCACTCTAATAAATACCATATATATATGTGTGTGTATTCATCCTGTAAGTTCTGTTTGTCTAGGGAATCCTGACTAACACAGTGACCACAGAAACAAGCCGTGTGTGTGTGTGTGTGTGTGTGTGTGTGTGTGTGTGCATATCTGAGTATACATTCTCCCATTAGAACAACCTCACTGAGTTCTAATTTCTGCACAACAGACAGTTCATGCTTCACATGTACAATCTGATGAGTCTGGACACCTGTTCACACCTGTGAAAATGACATTTCAGTGCAGGCAAAGGTGCATGTACCACCTCTGAGCGCTTTCCCATGCTTCTGTTTGTTGCTTAAAAATAGCTAACATGGGATTTACCTCTGAACATGTTTTCAATCACACGGTACACTGTTGACTTTAAGCACCATATTTAATAACAGATTTCCAGACCCTTTTTCTTCTGCACAACTTTCCATCTGCTGAACAGCATCTCCCCGCTTTTCCTCCCTGGAGCTCCCAGCAAACACCACTTGACTCTCTGCACCCGTGAGGGTATCTACTGTTGAGATACCCGCTATCTGTGGAAGCATGCAACGTCTAGCCTTCTGCAACTGGCTTACTTCATTTAGCATCGTGCCCCCTCAGGCTCATCCGTGTGTTAGAAATGGCACCATTGCATTCTTCTCCAGGGCTTAGAAGTATTCATTCCATCATCACAGACTCACTTTTGGACCATCACAGCTCAAGGCTTAAAGAAGCAGGACTCCTTGAGTCAGCACAGGGAGTTGGCGAAGGGACTTGTTGGGGATGAGAAAAATGAGAATGTGGGCACGTTAGCTGGAGTCCAGCTGACTTGGAAGCTGTAGTAGTCTTTAATGTGGAACTGTGTCCCCAGGTACCTTTCTATAGCAAGTACCTGAGATGATTGCTGAGAGCTGAGGATACTTCGCTCTGACATAGATTGGTCCAACTGCTTCTGGGCCTGTGGGGAGGATGTGGCGAAGTCAAGCCGCTTACGTCGTATCTCAGAAGTAAGAAAAAGGAAGGAGATGCGGCTAGGGCCCTCCCATCCCCTTTGAGGAGTGCCCACAGTGGTCCGAAGTCCTTCCACAAGCCCCCGTGCTCTAAAACCCTCACCGCCTCCCACTGGCTCCACATCCACAACAGTGTTGTACCTGGGTTTGTTTGTGGGTATCCCCACAACGCAACATGGAGCTGTCTGCAAGCTTTGTTGAGAGAAGATAGTGGTGTCTGTGTAGCTAAGAGCATTTCTGGGAGGACTGGAGGGCCTTGGTAGCCCCTGAGTTCATGATTTGCATAAGTGCCTGTCAATTGTTGGTTGGTGACTCACAGCTGGACAGTTACTGGGGTCTTTCCTCCAGGACTTGGTAAGCTCTTCAAGGAAATCCACAGAGCGATGTAACAGCACCCAGAGAACAGTCGCTTATTTGCAGAAGCAAACAGCACCCCCGAGTCAGCAAGCCTCGTGGGCAGTAGCTTGTTCAACATTTTAAGTAGATCTTGACATTAGAGAGAAAAATTATATATGTTAAGAAACTGTTGATGCAAAACAACACAGTTCTTGCCTCAAAGGGGATAAGAGGTAGTTTGTTCATTCTGGAGCAGAATTTGAGTAAGCATAGCCTGGGAGCTATGGAACTTGGTTACCCAAGGTTCCACGTTCTCCTGAGGTTTCATAAGAACAAAACAAAGAGAGTTACTAACAGAAACCTTAAAGCGTACATCGGTGGAAACATCCCCAGGGCAGGTGATGCCAGGCACTGTCCTCAGCCCTGAGATGCTATCTGATGGCTAGCTTTTGGGTTAGGGGAAGCTAGTGGTCTGCTAAGTTAAAAGATTTCAAAAGGCTTTTCTCTAGACACAGAGATGGGCAAGGAATGTCTATAGGAGGATAAAGCTAACCCAAGATAAATTATAATTAGGCTCTGGACCCACAATATTCCAACCTCCCCACGTCACTGCCGTTCTAACGAGTTCTAATCATTCAATCAGTCTTTGAGGACACAGATTCTTTTCAGAAATTATGGCTCATAGAACCACATGTAGGATAAATGTTGAATAACTGAAAATCATGAATGATTGTGACATGTTTTAAATGGTAAACTTAAAATTATATTGTGTGTGTGTGTGTGTGTGTGTGTGTGTGTGTGTGTGACACATGAAGACCATGGCATGTGTGTGGAGGGCAGAGGACAGCTTATGGGAACTGGTTCTCTCCTTCCACCCCCCTGTGCCTGGAAACAGGTGCCTTTGCCCACTGAGCCAGCTTACTGACTCATAGTGATCATTTTTAGTGAAAAAGGTGATACAGGAAAACTCTTAAAGCGCTCTGTAGAAACAGCAAAACAGCTCTGACTCTGTTCAGCCTGCCACACGGGGTTTGGGAAAAAGTGTGAGAGAATCTCACCTTACTGAAAGGTGTTAAAGGGTGGCAGGCCAGGCCTAGAAGACTTTCCTGACTGTCAAGACATCCTTGCCACTACTGTAGTCTCTGCCCTCTTTGGCTCTGACAGGCACAGGACGGGTGGCTCAAGTGGTAGGAATAAACTCACAATAAAAGCTATCTGTAGCCTCCCCTGCTAGAGAACGAAAACAGCCACCACTCATGTCAGAAAAAAAACTTCTAACATCTGCTCTGAATCTGTGAGCCAGGGAGGGTTGCAATGATTCTAAGCGAGCAGCACCAGGCAGGATAGGAGGCTGAGGTAAGATGACTTTGAAGCCAGCCTAGGTTACACCTCCTGAGACCGTCTCAGGGAATAACAGAAAGACAATAACCAGCCCAACAACAACCAGATGAATGCAGCGAGGTTAAAGTCCCTGAGAGGGCTCTCTCCACCAGAATGAGCGAGTGCCTATCTACATGTTGATTTTGAGTGTATATGTGATGTGTGTGTGTGTGTGTGTGTGTGTGTGTGTGTGTGTGTGTGTGTGTAATGTACAAATGCAGCAAATATCTCCCTCCTCCCCCCGCCCCCCGGGACTGGTCCGGCTTAGCAAATGCGGTATTCGATTCTCACGGAAGGTACAAATCGGCATCTACCTTTTAGAGAAAAGCACACAGAGAAGCCCGGTTAGGGCTCCAGGTCTGGATCACAGGCTCCAGGGCGAGTTTCAAAACCGCAGGCTCCAAGACTTCTTTGATGAAATGACTCTCGGACTGAGGAGCTGCCACAGGAAGGCACCGCGTCAGGAGTCCGGGTTTTATGGTGTTTTTGCTCACCTTGGGACACATGCACGCTTGGCAGGGGCAGACTTTCAAAGCCGCCTGTACACTGTGTGTCCAGAACAGGAGGTCTGGACGTCCGCAGCTGACAGGGATCCCGTGACCCCTATGCCCACATGCTCTCCACTCAGGGGTGGTCCGATGTCATCTGACATGGCAAATCAACCCCCCACTGGCCTCTCCTTCTGGTAGGTGGTGGGTGGGGGCCGGTCTTGCCTGAAGCGTTGGGGATATCTTCCTGACCCAGGGATCTCCTTGTGTCATGTTCGGCCACAATGTACATTGCATTTCCCAGAAAAAAAAACAGCCTTAAGAGTAAGCTGGCTCAGCGCGCGCGCGCACACACACACACACACACACACCCCGTCACCCTCCAAACACATATGCACACCCCATCCCACATACATACACACACACACACTACACATTCACACACACGCACGCAAGCACACACACGCACGCACGCACGCACGCACGTACACTCAGAGCTCCCAGCAGAATCAGGATCCCATGAACAGACGTTTGTGCAGACACTTTGGGGCATTGCTGAGCCTGGGCTCAGGGCTGAGAATCCATGAAGAAATGGCTTTAGCAGAGTGGAGGCCCAGACTGACCCTATAAATCACGGCACCGAGTACCAAAGATGGGGAGGAGATATGGCAGAGCACTTTCGGATGGAAGTTTATGGGTGGACAAAGTACTTAAAAGACAGTAAATTTTACTGTGTGTATCTGGGCTTTACAACAGCGTGGTAGGGGACACGTAGAGATGGTGAAACAGTTGTTAACAGAGGAGCAGATTGACAGGCCTTTCATCGCACACGGCGCTTACTTATTTTTGAACTAGAAGAGCTAAAAATCTACCTGACAAAGTCCCAAACACAATACAGGTTTTTGAAAAAACACTTTTAAATTACATATTGAAATTTATTGAAAATATTTTTCATACAATATATTCTGATTACAATTTTTTCTCCCCAACCTCTCCCAGATCCCTTCCAGCTCCCCACTTCCCCAACTCCATGCTGTTTCTTT